TGGGTAAGTCACATCAGCTATTTTTTAGCACTTGGCCATTATATACCTGAGACCTGAAGCATTGATTGGAGACTTTGAACGATTTGGTGATTATACTCCTGATGTTCAATCGGACGAAAAAAATTTTATCGTGGATTTATTTGCGTTTTTGGAGAACACAAAAGAGATTGCTTTTTCAAGTTACTGTCAAATGCAGAACGCTGTTAAGAACGTGATTTATGATTCTAAAGGGTATAATTCGCTTCCAATGTTGGGGAGGACCTTTTGCATATTCTAGATTTTTCAAATTTTTCACAGATCGTTTCTCAGTCACTGTCTGCGAAGTGGTGTGGTAATATTTAAATTTTAGCATTGCGGCATTCTGTGTAACTAAATTTCTGGCTTTTGTACTGTTTTAAGTAATTTCCGCATTTAGTTTTTCAGGAAAATTGCATACGCTGCATCACGTATCTTCCATTAAATTTCGAATTTCAGCAGTTAACCATGGTGCAGGAGAACGAGTTGCACGCGAAATTTTAAAGGCGCATGCCGGTCCGTAGAGCTGTGTCATAAGTTAGTGAACGAAATTTATGTATCACCAGCAATTCTTCTTCGGTACAAGGCGCCATGGAAGTGCAATCCATCTCTAATAAATGCTTGCTTATTCAAATTTTGAAACGGAGCGGTAATTTGGGATATGTAGGTGAGTATTTAGGGCACTTTTAGGTTGTAGAACAAGATAATAGGTCGTGTTTTGAATCCAGGATAGCTGAAATTGTCCGGTTGTTTTCGAACCTTTGTTTAATTAGCACCTATAATATGATCTGATCCAATTCTTCCTGTGTTTTTGATGGTGTGTTGGTCCTAGAGGTATAAATGTTCGAGGAACATGCTGTGGAAAGCACCGGCGTAACAATCTTGCACGAGGAGAAGTTTTAATAAGTTAATATAAAGTCACTCATTACGAAAACGGTTCATAGGAATTTATCGCAAGATGCATGGATTTCGTTCAGCATTATCTAGCTGCCTGTCTTGAAGGTTAAATATATTACACGCCAAGAGACATTTTTTTTCAAAAGCAACTTCGAAAAGAATATTCCGCGACGCAGGCATCCGTATTTGTTGAAATAGTAAAAGTTTATCCCTAAACATCGGCGAATGTAATACCGACGGCCCACCGTTGCGCGAACGCTGGCCTTCCGATGCTCTTTTAGGCTACCCATATGCACTAGCGCGATTGAGAGAAGCCAACCAGTAAACCAGGTTTCGCTTATGAGAAGTGCATGAAAACGGTGTTTAGATATTATTTCCGTTACTTCGTCGAATGATATGTTTAGGATTCATAAATTTAAGACATTTTAATCTTTGTTTTTGATTAAAACCAAAACGTTGCTTTATTTGTTTTACACTCTCCATATAAAAGAGAATGCATTTTTCTTTAAACTGTATTATTTCCATTTCATTCATTCTAGCCACTAAGTCTTGTTTCAATAACAGTGAAATAACATTGCCACCAAGGAAATTTCTTCAATTGCTAAATGGTTTTGTTTATTTTCATACTCTAAATTCAAAATTTTGTTCTCTAAATCCAAGTTAAGATCCTTGTTACTGTTTTTTCACCTTCAGTCAGCTGCAGTAATTCTGGTTTAATAAAACATTCCAAGATAGTTTTGTATGTTGTAAAAATCCGTTCATATAACAAATAAAGTTTAGGACTTTCTGATTGAATTTCTTTCTTAATGTCATGGAAATGGGGCAACACATAATATAAAAAATTTAATTTTTTTTTTTTTATTTTTGATCAATTAAAAATTTAAGTATAGCTCTGTTGAAGGATTCACGGACTTCCCTTGGATTGTCTCAGCTGCAAGTAGCCTGTCATTCAAAACAACATTTTGGAAGTATAACTTTATAGCTGGAAGCTGTTCTAAAAGCCGTTTGACCACAGGAAGTAGAGGCAGCCATCTTGTTTGAGCTGGGTGTAGAAGTTTGTGGGGTTTTATATCCAGAAAGGACTGGAATTTTTTATAGTCACCCAAACGTTTTGGGCTATTTTGGATATAACTGTATACATCTCTTGCAAAATACTCTACACCTCTTGGAAGAGTTTTGCAGGCATAAGAAGCACACAAATGAAACGAGTGGCAAATACACTTCATTATGAATAAATTTGGGATCTCATTTGCAAATAGAGTGGACAATGAATGGTGTGAACCAAACAGTATTTGCACCATCAGCTGCAAACCCAATCATGTTCTGTCTGTAAGGAATATTTTCATTATCAAAATATTCTTTGTATTCATTATGTAATACTGAGGCAGTGCCCTCTACAATTGGTATTAAACATAAAAAATTATCTTCCACATTGAAATCTACTGCTGTTCTGGCAATGAGCGCTAAGTGTTTCGTTGTTGATTTGTCTGTGCTTTCATCAACAATCAAAGAATATTTTTCAGTTTGTAAAGTCTTAACTAATTCGCTGTGAGATAATTTTACTGTAACATTTGTAACAATGGCTTGTGCCTTAGTTTTCTCGAATGTAATTTCTTGGGCTATTTCAGAATCCGAGCATACATTTTGAATAAGTTTTTTTAGGTCACCTGAAAAATAATATTATTTGAATACCTATAATCTCGTAATTAAAATTAATTTGTTGTGAATGAAATACAACAAAACATAGCCTACATTTATTAAATTATGAATTTGTAGACCAAGCCGCAAGAATACTAACCAGCAATGTTAAAAGGTAGATTATTTTTTGCCAAAAAACTAGCCATTCTTATTTCTCCAAATTTGATTTTATCCTCAAATGACTTTTTTGAATGAGTTTGCCCAAACTGGGTGATTGATAGTTAACTTGCTATACCTGAAAACAAGTAGTTAACTTTTTATAAGATTGGTGTTTTATATATTTAAAAATAGATAAAACGAAATTGCGTATAATTTGTGGATTTAAAATATATACATGCACAATCATTGGCAAGCAATGATAAATTAATTGATTGTTAGTAATTTCGTTTGTAAAATTTTAATTAATTATTCAATATTAATTAATCTAAACTGAGCATAAACCACGGAATAGAGGTTCACGTTCACCTTTCACACATGCTACATGCTTTAAACTATTTGCTTGTTTATGTAGAATAAATCTTCCACCAGCACACTTAAGATCACACCTACATGATTTGCAATAAAAATATTCTTTACCCTTGGGACTTTCTTGAAGCCAACCTGCAAATTCCTTGTCTTTCTCCCATAATTTCGAATATTTTTGGTCATAGTGCCTTTTTCGAGCTTTTAGTGGCGGAGTTCCTAACCTAGAACTCTGTGCATCGCTTTCGCTGTTGTCAGAATCCATTATTAATAAATGCACGCAACACAGAACAAACAGCAATCATCACCGTTAATACGTAGTTGTTTCGTTTCAACAACAAAACAACACAAAACAGGAGCAAAGATTTACCATTGATTCCGCAACAAACGGCAAACTGTTGTTGACCTTTCTGTTTTTTTGTGGTTTATGGCCTGGGGGCCTATTATGAAAATGATGAAATCACATTTCATGTTTTTTCAATGAAACAGCACATCTGACAACACTGGAACGAACCGAAGAAACAATTTCAATTTACATGTAATTAATGTTGAAGTACGTTTTTGATGTTATTAGACATTAATTGATTGTATCCAAACTAATTACGTTTATAATATATTAAATATGATATAAAAGGAATCACTCCAATGTTGAAGTATGAAACACGATTTCGTGATTTTCAGAATAGGCCCCCTAGGGGGCTATTCCCGAAATTCTTAAGTTTCGCTTAAATTAATTTTTCTTGAGTTTGAAAACCGACTACACCGAGTTGCATTCCTTTTAAACTGTAGAATAGAAATTTCGAGTTCAGTTTGAGCAGTGCAATGCGGTGTTGTCAATTTTCAAACTTAAGAAAAATAAATTTAAGTGAAACTTAAGAATTTCGGGAATAGCCCCCCCCCCCCCCCGACTCTATGTATGCTTGACGCGTCGTCGCATGGCTCACGCAACATTGCTCGTCGTTATAAAAAGAATTCAAAGTGATGATATAAGTCAAACTAATTTAAAAAATAGGTAGTTTTTATGTCTCGGGTGGTAGATAGGTAGACTGAAGTGAAAATTGGTAGACATGACATCACTGGTTGGGAGTCAACCGCCGATGAAACATGCAGCAACGGTCGTCATGGTCACAGGCACAGAGTTTTAACAACAGTTTTTAGATCATAAAAAGTTAGTATAAAAATTGTTGAGAATATATTCGACGGATATGCTCAGACCTTACACGGTGAACGAATGTGCACAGTTGGATAGTCATGGCTAGAATGGAGACCGATGTTTATTGTCTTTTGTATGTGGCTGTACTGCAATTTATGCAATTATGGTGATGTTCAAGCTCCCGATTGGATGAAACTGTCAACAGGTGCCACAGGTCAGAGTTGCGAAAAGCGCGGTATAAGTGCACTTGTAGCTCAGGGCGAAAGTCGCTTGCCTTTCACCACCGAGGTGCCGCGTTCGATTCCCGTAGAATCACCGTAGAACCTTATGTAAAATTTGTTAAGACAAAACGAGTTTGCCTGCTAGTCCAAACCATGTGAAGCGTCCTAAATCTTACCCCTTTCCTTATTCCTTCCCAGTTCTGGCCGATGGGTAAATGACGCAAGCCGTGTGCAAAGTGTGGTACCTGTAGGCGATTCTCTGACTTGACTGCAACTGACGTGACTACGACTACTCAGTGGCCCCTAGAGGGTTCGTGTAATGGAGGATTACTCCATAGTGCGCTCAAGGTTCGGTAACGAGCTAGGAGACGCGTTGCACCTATACACAACAAATAAGATGCCTTGCTTTCCAGCTAGTTTTTAAAGCCGTCATATTATTTTACTCAGAATTACTAATTTCTCGTAATTCGCCACTGCCCTACAAAAATAATACAGAATATTAATTAGTTTATTCTTTATTAATTACTATAGGGATTTGAAATGAAAGTTCAAATCACCCGCAAAGTCTTTCAGTTCCGTCGTGTTACGTTCGCCCGTATTACGTAACGGTTGTGGTCATCCGCATTTTGGTCGTTATGACTCGCAGAGTGCTCTCGCGTTCTTATGGTTCTTATACTGCGATTCGGTCCCTAGTGGTTCCTAGCAATACGTCAAAAGTTCAAGAAAAGTCGCATGGAAGTGCATTTAATTGGCCTCGCTTTTTGTCTTACTGTCCAATAAAACGTAGAAGACTTGATTAAATTGTGAAAAGAGCATTGCGCAATACGTAATAATATGGATCACTTAGAAATAGTGCCAGAGTGCGTGGTTAAAGTAGAAAATGTAAGTTTTTTTTATTGTAATTTCCGAAGAGAGTGATAAAGGGGTCAAGATATTTTGATTTTAAGATTTGCGAATTAAAAATTGTTTTTTAGCAATTGTAACTTAATATTGCAACTATTTACATTTAGTTTCAAGAGTTTGTATATTTTACTGTCTTGATAAAAGTGTTGGGATGAACAGTTTCGAGGTTAAGTGAGAATTTTTTAATCATAATTTACATATTTATCATTAGATTGTATTGAAATTGTGTTACAGGTAATGTTGGAAACTCGATGCGAGTATAATGAATGTTTTTTAAAAATCTTTCTCTCTTATTTGTTGTCAAATAAAAAATGAACGGTGATCATGGCCAAGAGGAAGCTTGCAGTTTTCTGGTGAGAAGTTTTTTTATTCTGTACAGGTACTAATTATATGACATAGTTTGTTGGCAGACATTTTGAAGAACATGTGACTTAATGAGTAAAAGTTAGGTTTTTGTGAATTTAGAAACGGAAAAAACTTCACCATTTTATTACCTTTGTTAAGAAAGGGAAGGTAAATATGATTTATTTTAAAGATGAGTGTATAAAGGAATGTATTACTTAAATATTCATGAAGTTTTAAAAATGTTTGTAATTAGTTTTCTCTTTCGCCAAGCGGGGTACACGTGTACTCCAATCTCCTTTTTTTACTTGATGTGTATGTTTTACTTATTTTGCACCATTGATATTTTGTGACATTGTCCAAAATACTTTCATTGACTATTAAGTCTTAAAATGTAAGGTGTTTTATATTTTCTACTTAAAATCAAGCACTGGTACACATTTGTATCCCATTATTATGCATCACCAATTTTTATTCTTTATTAATTATTAGAAACAGCGATAGAAAGAGTAGAACAAGATGCAGTGTTTGTCAATTACGTCTAATGAATATTCAGTTACAAAAACAATAAAAATATGCATCAGTTACCTAAAACACGAATAACTTTGAAAGAAGTATATTAAAGAAATGAATTGGTGCAATAAAAGAGAAACGTGGGAATGAAATTACTCTTAAATTTATCTTTCGTTACATATAAGGTGATCAAAGTAATCAAAATGTTCATAAGTTAGTCAGTTATTTCATCCATATATATCAAGAAATCTTCCTTGATATTCAAGTGGAATACAAGTGTACCCTGCATAGTATTCTGGGTTACATTTAGAGCTTGGTATGCAATGGCTTAAGCCTCTCTCATCCAGATTGTAGTTTTAGATTAGTAATATTGGGATAATAAAATATTTAAGTATCATATACTAATTTACATTATTGAGAAAAAGAACATCGAGGTGATTTCATGGAATCTTTACGATTCTGAACTTATTTTTTAATATTTAATTTCAGTGCTGACTGTGATAAAAATATTTATTCTAAACATGAATGCTAATTCTGCGAGATGAAAGGTTAAAGTGAGATATAGATAATTCATTTTAAGGTACTTATTTTAATCTCTGAAGAATGTAAAATGCATTTTATAATTCCCTGACAAAACATTAAATTTCTTTTTCATTTATCTTTGTTTACTCATAATATTTCGTTAATACTTGTTTGTAATTGATCATTAATTTCAAATTGTCAAAATGGTATTGTTTATCTCTAAGAAGTGTAAAGATTTGGATTGGAGCTTACTTTATTCATTTTTAATTTGGCTCTTTATGTGTTAATTTACATTATTATTTTTTTAGACATCCACTAGTAAAAGCAGCACTTTTGGAGCATGCATACCAGAGCAAAAGTTAAATTTTTAGTATTTATCAAAGGTAAATGGAGTTTAAGTGTTCAGATAAATCTGTGAATGCAACAAAAAAAGACAAAATAAACTTCTAACTTACCACAGTGTGAATGAAAATACGATTTTACTCCTAGATTTGGGTCACGTTACGTATCGCTCTTGTGTCACAACGCATTCAATTCACAAAATAAAATGTTGCATTAACAACTTGTATTGTAAATAACTATTTGCAATAGAAACTTCAAAACATATTTAGTAAATTTGATGAACCTTATGCTTAACTTTTTAAAATATATTTTTAACTTATTTCTAATTTGTGAATGAATCTTTCCTGATGCAATGTATAAAATGTTTTTTGCTGTTTGCAGGAAGGAGACATGATTTTTACCATGAGTGAAATGTCGGTGAAGATGAAGAGGTGAGATATCATTAACCCACTCTCATCTCCTGTGTCTTTGGTAACTTAGCGTGGATAGGATGGAAATTAATAAAAAATATTGATGCGATATATTAATGTTGTTGAGTCACAATTCCATTTCCAAATTACTATTGAGGTTGGTTTTGGTCTCTATTTGAAAGAACATCATTCTTTACAAATGTAAATGAAAAAAATTATGTGATCATATTATATCGTTAGTGAAATATTGAAGTCTAAATATAATCAAATACTCACTTGGTCTCTTTCTCTCTTTGGTAATAATAAGTTATTAAAATACATTAATAATGTAGGGAATTATAACTAACTGTACATAAAAATACTAGTAGGAAAATTCAGTAGATCGCAGCACTAACACAGTAATTTACTTTACCGATGAAGTCTTAACAAACGAACTGATTTTCGAACTGTAAATGGCATTTGACTCGTTTTTAAAATAGAATTTATGCAACGCAGCGCTTTTTTCTCCAAACTAACATAAATTCTTATTTGAAATTGATACTTCAACTTCCTAGAAAAATTAAAAAATGTGGGCTTATAGAACAATGGAGCAAAGCTTCAAGAGTCCAATGCCGTGCCAATAATGCAAATCTGATAAATTGGAGCGTCGTAAATTGAAATATGGGAAAACACCATGATACTGTCCCCCTTCCACCCCATTGCATCATACACCCGTTGTAGGCACTCTCTCGGTTCGGCTGCACAGCCAGCCCCGGCAAAGAAAAACATACCTTCTAATTTTTTCACCAAATTGTAAATCCGGGCGCAATTTTGTTTCACGCGTATATCCGAAACAAATTGTCCAATTAATGCAGTTTGTTCCATTGAACTTCTCGTCGAGAGGTGTAACTACACACATGACTTCAGATAGAAACTACGAATTTTTTTTCTCTGTATTTTTATTCAAATTTTCAATTCGGGTGCAATTTTGTTTCACGCGTATATCCAAAATTTAAAGTCGGATTGAAGTATAGACTGCCTTATTGAATTTCTCGTAAAGAGATGAATCTACGTACGTGATTTCAGAGCGATGCAACTAATTTAATTTTTATCTAATTTATTCACTAAAATAGTCAAATCGTGCAGCAATATTGTTTAAAAAATTATCTCCAAAAGCAATAGTCCAATTCATGTATAGTTTGCTCCATTAACTTTCTCGTCGAGAGGAGTACCTACACACATAATTTCAGAATGAAGCTACGAAATTAAGTTTTTTTTAGTTTTTTCACCAAAACTGTCCATTTGGGCTGCAATTTTGTTTCACGCATATCTCAGAAACTAAATATCGGATTAACGTATAGTTTGCTCCATTGAATTTCTCGTCGAGAACAGTACTTACACACATGATTTAAGAAAGAAGCTACGAAATTAAGTTTTTTCTAATATTTTCACAAAAACTGTCCATTCGGGCTGCAATTTTGTTTCACGCATTTCTCAGAAACTAACTATCGGATTAATGTATACAGTTCTCAATTGAATTTCTCGTCGAGAGGACTACCTACACACATGATTTCAGAATGAAGCTACGAAATTAAGTTTTTTCTAATATTTTCACCAAAACTGTCCATTCGGGCTGCAATTTTGTTTCACGAATATCTCAGAAACTAAATATCGGATTAATGTATAGTTTGCTCCATTGATTTTCTCGTCGAGAGGACTACCTTCACACATGATTTCAGAATGAAGCTACGAAATTAATTTTTTTCTAATTTTTTCACCAAAACTGTCCATTCGGGCTGCAATGTTGTTTCACGCATATCTCAGAAACTAATTGTCGGATTAATGTTTAAATTGCTCCATTGAATTTCTCGTCGAGAGAAGTACCTACACACATGATTTAAGAAAGAAGCTACGAAATTCAGTTTTTTTAGTTTTTTCACCAAAACTGTCCATTCGGGTTGCAATTTTGTTTCACGCATATCTCAGAAACTAAATATCGGATTAATGTATTGTTTGCTCCATTGAATTTCTCGTCGAGAAAAGTACTTACACACATGATTTAAGAAAGAAGCTACGAAATTAAGTTTTTTCCAATTTTTTCACCAAAACTGTCCATTGGGGCTGCAATGTTGTTTCACGCATATCTCAGAAACTAAATGTCGGATTAATGTAAAGTTTGCTACATTGAATTTCTCGTCGAGAGGAGTACCTACACACATGTTTTCAGAAAGAAGCTACGAAATTAATTTTTATCTAATTTTTTCACCAAAACTGTCCATTCGGGCTGCAATTTTGTGTCACGCATATCTCAGGATCTAATAGTTGGATTCGTGTATTGTTTGTTCAATTGAATTTTTCGTCGAGGAAAGTACCTACACATATGATTTCAGAAAGAAACTTCGAAATTAATTTTTTTCTAATTTTTTCACCAAAACTGTCTATTCGGGCTGCATTTTTGTGTCACGCATATCTCAGGATCTAATTGTCGGATTAATGTATAGTTTGCTCCATTGAATTTCTCGTCGAGAGGAGTATCTACACACATGATTTCAGAAAGAAGCTACGAAATTAAGTATTTTCTAATTTTTTCACCGAAACTGTTAATTCGGGCTGCATTTTTGTTTCACGCGTATCTCAGAAACTAATTGTCGGATTAATGTATTGTTTATTCCGTGTAATTTCTCGTTGAATGGTGTACGTACATACGGGATTTTAAAAAGAAGTGACTATATACCGTTTTTTCAAAATTTTTCACCAAATTTCTTTATTTGGGCTCAATTTGATTGCACCTATGTTTTGGAAACTAATATGTGTAATGAAAATTTTTTGGCAATCTCATATGGCATGTTGGTGAGTAATATATGAATTAGTTTTATATGAGTGGTACTTCGGGTGGTTTTTTAATACTATTTTATGTTTTTACAGTAACATCACTCCGGGTAGGGAAACTTACTTTCACAAACAGAACATACACATCATAGCTGCATTTGCACTTGCTGATTTTTTGTGATTTACTTCATCTGAACGAAAATAATGAAGGAGAGTTAAATAATTTTACATTTGATATTAGCGTGTTCTTCAACTATCGCGGACTAACATGAGTGTCCTAAAGGTTTTTTAATAAACGCTTTATAAATATTATACACCTATGTCGTCACCAATGCTCTTAATTTTATTTTCATTACAGAGTACTTTATTATCTGGATGTCTTGATCTAGATACGTATCTGTGATTTAACGTGTTCGCTATAAGTCAGGCGAATTTTTTTTTTTTTTTTTGGGAATATAGATTAGAAATTATGTGTATAGCTTCTTTGTAAGTTTCAACTTAATTTCCGTGTTTATAGGGGAAAGAATATTATTTGAAATGGAAGTGTTTTTCAACTTTACTTTCCTTTTATTTTAATATATAAATTTTCAAAGGTTCTTAATCTTTTCTTAATTAGAATTGTTTCATCGTTAATTTATCTGTCCTTATTCATCTTTCTGTACGGTTTGTCTTGAACAAATTGTAATGATTCTTGAAACTAGGTGTTGATCAACACAAATTACAAGTATTAGAACCTAATAAACAGAATTTATCAACTAAGTTTCGAAAACGACTATAACTATTTTCCACCATCATGCTCTTTTTTTTTACTTCTGTTGTGGAATGAATTTTCTTATGATTCTGTACAAACTCAGAGTACAAGCTCCTGTTTCATTCCATCCTGTGTTGCCTCCGGAGCCCAAATGAACTAGCGAATTGCTCAACTCGCCCCCTACAACTTGCTCTCTTTCATTTTCCTTGTTCATCGCATTGGATCAATTGCGATCCATCACAGTATATTGAACATTTTTTGCTATAATGAGTGTATTAATTTTTTAAGAACGAAATTTGGAATATTTATGACCATTGATGATTTACATTTACACGCATATAAAGGATTGTTGTAATTAAATCTTACTAAATTAAATTGAAATAAATTTTGACTCAATTTCAGAAACATTTATAAAAACATATAAACAAATTTCAGGATTAATACAAATCCTTTCATTTAGACCACAAAACAAGAAGTTTCCTTAAGTTTCCTATGTGCGCTCCCGGAGTTCAAAGAGTTTGCAGGGTCCTAGCTTTCTCTTGCTTGAAGTGATCGCCAAAATAAAACTAATTAATGTTAGAGTATATGTTGTAGTAAAGTAAACATTTCTAATGAAGTATTTTTTCTTCAGGTGCAGAATATTCACAGCCCACAGTCAACCACTCGAAAACTGGAACGGAAAGATATAGTGAAATGTGTGACGTGTTCAATAGAGGCAACGAACGAAGGAAGAAGTTAAATCAGACGACAGTTCCATGGTTAATAAAATCTTAGAAGAGAATGACTCGGATTTATTGAAGTCAGTGTGTGGAGATTTTGTCAGGATGTGGTCACAAAAATAGGATTTTCCAAGAGAAAGGAGATTGTCCTAAATGTCCTCTGTCAGAATAGCTTCCAGCGGAGGAATACTAATTACACACATGCGGACACACCAGAGTTCTCTTGGAAGCCAAACGAACTTCTCAGAAGTATTTTAGTAAATCACGTTCATATTCCTTGCGGAAAACGCCCCTATGACTGCTCCGTCTGCCAAAAGATTTTCATACGGAAAATAAATTTGCAAATGCGCAAAAGCGGATTCACAGTGGAGAAACTCCTTACGAATGCCCCGTGTGCTAGAAGAACTTCGCACAGAAATGTACATTAGTAAGACACATGAGGATTCACAGCAGAGAACGTCCTCATGAATGTTCCGTGTGCCAAAAGAGCTTCTTTGCTAGAAGTGCTTTAGAAAGGCACATGGTGATTCACAGTGGAGAACGTTCCTCACGAGTGCTCATTTTGCCATAAAAGCTTCTTCCGGAGAAATTCTTTAGTAGTGCACATGTGGATTCTCAGCGAAGAACAACCTCACGAATGTTCCGTGTGCCAGAAGAGGTTCTCACGTAAACGTTATTTAATCTCACACATGCAGATTCACCCCGAAGAACATCATTATGAATGCACTTATGTGCGCTAAAAGAGCTTCACAACGGAAAAATGTTTATCTGCGCACTTCCGGATTCACCGTAGAACGACTTGAAGCATGTTTTGTGTGCCAGAAGAGGTTTGTTAAGAAAGGTTATTAAATCACACACATGCGGATTCATAACAATGAGTGTCCCTTCAAATACTCTGACTACCAACTTTTCAAAGAGGAGCAGTTTAATAAAGCACTTGCGGATTCACAGTAAAGAACGTCCCTACGAATGTTTTGACTGCCAAAAGAGATTCTCAGATAGAAGTAATTTAGTTAGGCATATGCGGATTCACAACAGAGAACGCCCTCGCTGTGTTCCGCAACATAATAGCTATAAGATGAAAATGATGTATAATAATGAAATGTTTTGAAGAATTGTTTTAGAGCAGTTCAGAGTTAAAACATATCCCACCATCATATTGTCTCGCTATTCTTCATTCACGTATATGACGATATTTACTATGTAATATGTAAATAAAATAGAGAAAATTATTCTGCAGAAACTTGTCGTTAACTTTTTAATGCAAATATACGTTTTAAATTCCAATGATACCTGTTTGTTTTTCTTTCTTCCGATTTTAACTGCCACCTGCCACTTCCAACTTTTCCGAAATTGTCTTTTTTTAGCCCTTTTATTATTAATTGCATTATTGAACATTCACAACTACAATATAGAAGGTATGGTTTTAAAAAAATACTTTTTATCAAAGAAGGCGCAAAATATTTAGTGAAAATCTAATATATAAAAACCAATTGTATGCGCTGCCGTACGGTTCATCCTATTACCATAAAACTTTAATAATTTATTGCTAGCATTTCCGCCAAGAATACAGGAACAGTACAATGGGAATGTGTGTATGTCTGTTGCACATAGACACCTCTCACGTTTATGCTTACTCCATCGGCCCTGGAAACTACGCAACCCGCCGCAGTTTCAAGTATTAAGCGTGACGTCGTATTCTGCCCTTGCATTTGAGAAATAACGCAATATCGGACAAGTAAATGTAATTTCCTCAAGACATTGTCATAGCGATTGCATGCTCACATTGGAGGGAGAATGTTTCAACAATAGAATACTTGACAACCATGTCCAAACTTGGAAATAGAACTAATCCATGGTCGCGAGAAAAATCTTTCATCTAGTAGCGTTACAAAAGCGAAGCATTGCGGGGTAACTACTTTTACATAAAAATAAGTTTTATTATTCTTATATATAAAGTAATTGACCCGAAAGAATGTACATGTTTTTTGATCAAGAATTTCGTAAATTTGAAAAGCACTTTATAGAAAAGTAAATCATTTGTTATTGATACGTACTGTAAATATTCTGTTCTACATTTTCTGAAGAGTTGAATCTGAATGAGTGCAATCCTCTGCACGAAGGAGCCTGTGGCCGCTTATAGGAGAAACCCGCTTCCTAACGGCCTAGCAAGCGGCCCCCCTGCGTCATCCACGTTTTACGAAATCATTGATGCATTTAACATTTTTTTTAGCCGATGTCGGTTTAACATCGATGTTTTTACGTGTTCGATATTTTATTTCTAATGAAAAAAGACCATCGTATTAAAAAAACTCGAACAATCTTTAAATATCGCAAATTTAACCCTATTCTGACCATAATGACCAAAGTGAAAAATAAAATCCAGTTTTGTCGATAAATTATTTTTCAATTGTCCAATCAGATAAAAGTTTTGTTAAATGACCTGACCCTGGCTTTTGTTTTTCAGTTAAATCTCGATTAATCAACGCGAACACTTTCAAAAATTAAATCCCCCCGCGTGGAATAAATGATTCCAGTTTTAAAACATGGTTTTGGATCAAAGTTTAAATTTCGATGTCGCATCCCTGGTTGTAGCTGGAACGCAGCTTCCGAACACCGCGGCTGGTGGCAGAGCATTGGTTTAAATGGAGGTCTTCCCACGCGGGGCGGGTTTGCAATGCCGTGTCTTTCGGTATTTTTCATTTTTAGGTAGGATTTAAATTATATTAATTATATATAGTAAAACGTAGGATCAAGGCAAGTTCCACTCTATAGAGGTTCGCCAACTTTCTCCCATAAAAATTGGCTAATTTGTGAGAAATATGAAGTATCGTCTTAATGTTCAGTTATTCATAATATATACATACCTCTGACAAAAGCGCCAACTTCGACGCTATCTTTTGTAATATTACGCTCCTCCATGCGTCTCGCGAATCTACGCAGCAGCCACGTACGTTTTAAGTATCGTTGGCAAATGTTCGATATTGGAGTTACAAAGCCTCAGGCGTGGACATAAAGAATCAAAACCACCGCCTACATGGCCAGCATTTTAAATTTCATAACGTCACACGTTTAGTTCGGCTACGGTCTACGGCGCGGTAGATGGCGCAAAAATCATTATTCCGTTTTCACCACCCAAGTTTCACGCCTCTGAGAGCTTGAAAGGCCCTGGGCCCTGCGTTAATAAATTGTGTGAAATAGGAACATTATGCAATACAGTAATTCGTACTAAAATGAATCACATTGAAATATTGTCCGTAGTAAAATTAGAAAATGTAAGTTTTATCATTTCCACCTTTCAGTTTTATAAAAGGGTCATCTTATTTTTATTTTAAGATTTGAGAATTAAAAATTATTTTACAAATTATAACTTAATATTACAATTAGTCACATTTTTTTCAAGAGTTTGTATATTTTACTGCCTTGATAAAAGTGTAGGGATGAACAGTTTCGAGGTTAAGTAAACAATTTTTTTTAATAATAATTTATATGTTGATTATTAGATTGTATTGAAATTGTGTTACAGATAATGTTGGAAACTCAGTGTGGGTATAATGAATGTTTTATAAAAAGAAGCCTCTCATTTGTTGTCGGATAAAACATGAACTTAATTATCCAGCCGAAGAGGAAGCTTGAAATTTTACGGTGAGAACGATTTTACGGTGTTGGTTGATTCTGTACAGGCACTAAGTATATGACATTGATTTTGTTTGCAGACATTTGGCAGTTTGTTGCATAAAAGTTTCAAAAAATTACATCTGTTCAATTTTTCAAAAAACAAAAAATACCGCAAAGAACGTCGTCATCTTAAAGAGTGCAATTAGGACTAGCCATACAAAAATTTTGAAGAAAAAAATTTTGAACAGTTTTTGAGAAAACTGCGTTTGAGGGTTTATAAAAATGCGGTGTTTGGTCGTTTTCATTTCAAAAACTTCAGTTTTCAAGCAACTTTATTTGACGCGATTTAAAGCACGTTTGCACATAAATACAATAATGTGAATAAATCGCCGCTAACGTAAATATTAACAATGTGAAAGAGAAGTCAAGAAAATTACATATTTATAATATTTGAAAATATAAAAGAATAGGGCAAAGTTTCATATGTGTCATCTTATACAGTACATGTCTCTGCCAAAAGTTTAAAGAAAAAATTTGCAGCTGTTTTTAAAAAAGTCTTGTTTGTATAATATTTTTTAAAATTGCAAATATTGATCGCAATATTGCGCAATAACTACGAAAAGTTAAGAAAAAAAACCTTCATGATCTTAATGCAAGAACTAATTATGAACAACAAATTTCATTTGAAGGCAAAATCTTCAATTTTGCAGTTGTAGGAAGACACCTTAAAAATTTCATACTTTTGCAATTTCTGGAAATTAAGAGTTACCATAAAAATTAGACCTATGCCACCTTTATAATTGTATAATACTCTATTTTTGCAAGAAATTTCAAGAAAAAATTTGGAGCCTATTTCAAAATAAATAAGAGTTTTATGTGACATCATGATCCATCATTAACTAATTGTGTTTTTCTCCTGCAGGACCCTTTGGCAATGTGCTGTGATAATCATTTTGGCAAGGCATATGGACTGCTGGTAAGTTAAAGGATCAAGGATATAGTAACTTGGTAAGAACTTTTAAGTATGACTTCATTTTCTTCTGTAAATACAAAAGAGATGCTTGGTGGCACAGCGTAAGGAAGCTTGCATTCACAAACACAGGGCATTCACATCAGTGCTGGATTAAACACTTGTCCATTTCATTTGATTAATTTTATCTGATGGAAAAATCTGGGAAAATTAAATAAATTTACTGAAGGAATTGGAAATATTAGTGTGGAATTATTCAACTATCCCAGATGAATATGAATGTCTATAAGTTAATTAATAAATGCATCTCGTCAATAAATGCACGAATGCTCTCGAAGATGGAATCCTTGCGGAGTTTCTTTAATGTCTGGATTAGTGTGATGACTTTTTAAAAATTAGTATACCTAATTTTAGTCATTAATAGGCAAAAGTTCATCCATTCGTGATTCAGGAAATAATTTTTGAAAATATAAATTAAAAAGTCATTACCCTGGTCTGGATATATTGATCTAGAGACTCACCTACGAGTTGAAATGTTACAACTATAAGTCTGTTGAGAATATATTTCTTGGGTTTGGAATATAGATTAGACAAAATGTCAATGGCTTTTTCCTTTCTCATATATGTACATATATACAGAGTAATACTTGAAGGGTAAAGTTATATAATGCTGCTGCAAAAATGGCAATTTTTCTACAGAAAAACTCATATTGTGGGGTTCTAATACAGAAAAAGTGGATAAATCCTGTTCTAAAATGCAGTAAATGACTCCCCTCTAACACGTTACTTAATCAAATTTCAGAAATTGTAGCACCTTGGTGCTGAAAAAGTTTTTTTGGAAACGTTTGTCTGTCAGTCTGGTGTGTGTCAACAACACTAGCATCAATACTATGCATAAGATTTTTTCCAAACTGAATAAACACCATGTCGATCTGGTCTGACTTGAAGCTCTGCAATTTTGGGAGACCTTTACATGAAGCCCTTGGGATATTTTAAACATTTTCTCAAAAACTGCTCAATTTTTTTCCTTTAAATGTCTTGTAAGAAGTGAGTAAAATTCACTTATAAATATAGCATTTCCGGTCTTACTGTTAACTCTGATTTTTCAAAAATCGCAAAATATTGAAATTTTCGGCGGCTTCAAAATTGAAGATAGAGATTTTGATTTCAAATGAAATTTGTTCTCTTTAATTAATACTTTCATTAGGACCTTGCACATTTTTTTGAAGATTTTAGTAGTTTTCATGTACATTATTGCACTTATGAGCACATGCGCTTTCAATAATGTTATATAAAGTTTCTCGAAAACTCCTGTTTTCTGAGAAGATGAGCTCAAAATTTCGCATTTTCAGAAATGCTCAAACCCCATTTTCCCAAATATTGCCCCAATTGTTTCCAATAAGCAGTTCTAATTGCAATGTTTAATATATCAAATTCATTTTGCTGTATCCTTTTTTTTTGTTTTCAGAAATTACACAAATGTAATATTTTTTGAAAATCTCTCACACTGTCAATATGCAGATTTTCGGCAATATATAAACATTATTGCTTGTGTGAGTGGAAGTACTTCAAAGGACTTATAGTGAAGTTTTTCAAAAACAGAAAATTTCTGTGAAAAAGAACGTCAAGATTTCACAATAATGCTTAAACACTATTTACTTACAAATTACTCCAAATTATTCAATGAAAATTGCCATGTAGGACGAGGTTTTACTGTTATTTAATATTCTTAAAGTAATATTTTGTATCTACCCTGAGGACACTGGAAAATTGGGAGAGAAAAAATAAAAATAAAAAGGGTGTATGATCGATGGTAGCTGGCAAGAGTATGTGGCAAATCTGAATAGTCAACCCAGACCACAGAAATTAGAAAACTAATTTGAAAAAGTCTGTGCCGATCTGTTGCATCACTAGTTTCCAGCCTGTGTGACCTCTGGAGCCAAAATGCGCTAGTATTAGAATTGCACGCCATGTCCCTCGCCGTAACTTCCCTCATGTGACTCGCAAAGTCAGATGCAATCCTTTGCAATATAGTGAACTTTTTTCAGTAATAAGTGTTAATTTGAGTATCAATGATTTACTACATTTTCATGTATTTAATGGATTGTTATACTTAAATCTTAACTGAATTAAATTGAAATAAATTTAGACCCATTTTTAGAAACACATTTATAAACACAAATTCATTTTAAAAAAATATCTAAACAAATTGCTGGATTAATACAAATCATTCATCAAAACGGCATTACATAACAATAAGTTTTTATGTTTCCCACGTCCACTCCTGAGATAGGAGTTCGAAAAGTTTGCAGGGTCCAAGTTTTCTCTTGCTTAAAGTGTTCACTAAAATAAAACTTATTGTAAGTTCGTTGATAAAGTAAATAGAATTACAATATATAAATGGAATTAAAATTATGCAACTTCTAATGGGAAATCAACTTACCTCCTTTGACAACATTAAACTTTCCACAAGGACCCGCAACACTATAGTTATAAAATGTAAATGATTTATTATAATAATAAAGTAATACATTAAAGAAAGTAATTTTAAAGAAGCTCGTCAACCAATAGATTTTATGGAGGCTGAATTTTTGATTGAGTGCTAGCGAACCTTTTTATAATGTACTTGGCACGGGCTTGGAAAAAGTTTTTGCTGGTGTGCAAGGATGATTTCCATTTGATGTGTTTGGCATTACTTTATTGGCAAGGATTTTTATAAGTAAGAATTTGTCTTGGAAGTGTGCTTGTTGTGATTGATTTTCTGTAGCTCAATGTGGATGGAAATGATAACGGAAAATTACTGTTTCTGTCATTATTTTTGAATATAGTACTGGTAAGTTGTAATTGTTCATGTACTTACGTTTATTGTCAGTATATGTGCATCTTATTCAATAATATATTTGGTGTACAGACATGCAGCGTTGAACTTCCAACACGTGAGAAATTCTGTCAGTCCAAACTCTTCTGTTGGTAAGTGTTAAAAAGCTAATCAGTTTTTTATTTTTATTTTGTGGTGATGTGAATTTATAATTTATGTGACTGGATTTACTTCAAATCTTTTGTCATTGGCCATTTATATTTTTTATATGCATAGAGAAAGCTTGACACAATAGCAATACATCATGTGAAGAGCTGTCTCCACCTATTTTCCTGAGTACCCAATTGAATGGTAAGTGAAAGTGTAAAACTAATAATAAAATGTTATTGTTTGTCCTTACTAAAGTTTAATTTAGGACACTGGACTTTCTTTACATAGAATTCTTTTATTTCTTCACCACTTTTCCTCTTTTTGTTAGAATACAGTTCAAAATCACTTTAACTGGAGTGATCAGGTTTTGACCCAAAGGCATTAACTGTGCAGTGTAATTGCCTAGTATAATTTGTGTTCATTCAATTCTGTAAATTTTAATGGTTGTTTGAAAAAGCTAATTATATTTTTTGTATTGTAGGACATCAAATTTGTCACAGAAGACCAGGAGAAAAGCGAAGAATGAGGAAGCAACAGTTGCAGACAAGTACGCTTTCTGATAAACTCATCCAAGTTCCTGAACAAAATGTTTACAGAGTACATAGTTGTAAGACCTAATAAAATGTAAATGTAAATAAAATGCTGTGGGAAATAGTGAACAAATTTGTGATAACGTTTTTGAGTGAGTAATTGAGAATCGAAGGCACAGTTCAGCGTGTTGAAGAAATGGAATGATGAATCTTCCCTAGGACAGACTGAAAAATTAGTTCAGTTTTGTGATATTTTGGAGGACTCCAGACACATTAATTTACATTGTAGATGGAGTTAATTTCTGTATATTCTATTGAAAAGCAAGATTTTATGTATAAAACTGTGTCTACATTTTGATAAGAATAAATGCATTTGTAACCCTTTGATAAAAAGCAAATGTGCTCTAAAAAACACCCCAACATATTGTAACAGTAAGCATCCTTGACCTGATTAGTTTTTAATTATATTTTTATTATAAACAAATTAGTTTTTTATTCAAACATGACAGTATTATCCTTTTTAAATAAACAGATTTGTGAACATTTCTGGATATTTAGTATTCATGCCCACCGCAGAGCAAATGCAAGATATTGTTGAACATGCAGAAGTCGGCAGCTCCCGATGGGAACAATTGAAATTGGATGAAGAAATCCAGTAAATAAATAAAATGTGAATGGGGCAAGAGCTTTTTCAAAATTTTTTTTATTCCACATACCACCAATTCACAGTTTGTTTGTAAATATTTCTTAACCCAGGAATGCCTGCAATAAGTAGACTCGCGCCAGATATAGCTGCAACTTTTTGTAAATGTAAATGAACTGGAGCTCTATTTACTGAAATGCATCTTTTATATAGTTTGTAGATGTCCTCCAATGCAATTGCTTATGAATCCAAAACTGCAGAAATATTGTCTGAATTCTTATGGCCAGATAAGTAAAAATTGATAAAGTAGATATTAATGATTTTTGCATATAAGTATATTTTCAAATATTAAATATAATTTCCACCAATGACTTCATCAGTTCTTAAGATACATTTATTTTACAATTTTACAAAAAAAATTTTAAAAGTCAGCCTTTTTTTCCATTTTGCAAGGTTCTTATTTTTAATTTCTGTACAGACGTCTCCTGCATGTCTTTTTTCTCTTGAGGAAGAAATTGTGACAGTCGATTCCAGACAAGACAAATTATTGCATTTTATAGGAAATAGGTACTTGTCATAGACATAGTTGAAAATGATGCAATGATACGCCAAGAGCTCACTAGACATTGGCGCCAGTGCATGCTACTTATCTGACAGATATCGCGCAGCGTAGTGATCACGTTTCAACACACAGGAAAGAATTCAGCAAAAGAATAAAAGTAGATTTTATTTTTCAGAAATTTTCAGGCATTTTCACAAAAGTACAATGAAGGAATACATGAAATATCAGTATTGCAATAATTCAGGAACATAAAATTGCCATGGCCTCTCAGATCTACTGTGGGCACTCCCGGGTTGCAATAATCATTATCTGCAACTTGATCCAATTTATGAAATACATATTATTTTTATTAATAAATGAAAATATAGAAATATCAGAGATCAAAAGGCTCTCCTAAAATTAAAGGAATGATTGTATTTATATTATAAATTATAAGATATATATTATAAATTATAAGATAAATTGAATTCTGTTTGAGTGCTGTGGCATGAAGTAAGCATGAAAAGTAAAGACATTCTTTAATTATGTATGCAAATATGTAAATAAAAACACAGTTATTTAAATTTCAAACAACAGAATAATATAATGTGAAAATGTGGGCAATTTTAAATGAATAAGCTTCTTGCGGACAATAATTGCTTTGTGAGTTGGATCAGAATATTGTTTTTTTAAAGGAAATATGAGCTTTAGTCAATATTGTTTATAGTATACCAAAAGAGAGCCTGAGGGTTAAAACATTATACTTGGTTAGGTAATTAAATATAAGAAATCATTTTATTGAGTTTATATGGTAATGCTTGAAGAAATGAAGATTTGTTTTCTTGTATTCATGACATATCAAGATTTCAAATTTTATGTTAAAGAAGTCATGAGAGTTTGCTGAGTTCATCATTCTTTTCAATTATGTTGAATTGTTTTGTACTAGGTGTGTAGAAGATGGTGTAACAAGCGTTGCTATGAAACAATAAAAAAATGCATATTCATAATTGTAATGTATGGCAAAAAATTTTTGAATTTTTGAAAATATCAAAAAAATCAGTGTTTTTAACGAAAGTGAGACCTTGAGCATGTTTTTGAAAATGTCCCTGAGGCTTCATTGCTGTACCCCCCAAAATCAAAATACCGGCAGACGAACGTTTTGCCGTAAATTTTTCGGTATCAAGGACCCTCAAAAATGGATTTTACACCACGTGTTAAAGGATTCCCCCCCCTCCCTAAATTTAGCAACTCGATTTACCTACTTTTACGTTAGCAGGGACCGGCAATAAGAGTTCTTTGTCGAAATTTCGCCGTATTTTCTCGTAGCATTACTTAAGTTTCTCTACTCTGCGTAAGCAGTGGCGAGAAAGTAAAAAAGAAAACTACTTGAAAGAAGCTTAATAATCATTATCAATCACAAAATTCAGAATCGAGCCCGATTTGACGAACGTCTCTATAAGGTCCCTTGGTTCACTTTTAACGAGTTTGTTACTTTACTCTTTATGAACAATGTGCTAAGGTCTTGTTTTTAATATTTTTGAAAAGGGTCCCCAGGAATCCTTTGACTTAGGCGTTCCTTTATGTTCTAATGAAATGTTTCAAATCATGTATAACTGGGTTTCTAAAATAATGTTTCTCAATGCAGGACCTTTTTCTTAAATAGGACATTTTACATTTTTATACTCCATGATGTATAGACAATGTCCTCAACAATTCCAAAACATTAATCGTCTTTAAAAGCATATTAGACTGCGTCATTAAAAATGAAAGCTTTCGATTGGATAAGTTCGTCCCCGCACTTTCCTTCTTTATCCACCAAAAAATAAGCATAAATAAGTTTTATATCACAATATGAATGCCTATTGATCTGTTTATTTTTACAATTCATGACATGACCCTTTAATGAATTAATTTATTTTATAATTATGCCAGTTTTATTTTCAATTCAACAGAACAAAAAGGAGCACAATCGATGTAAAAAAAGGACATGACAATCCTGCGTGTAATGAAACTCGGAATAGGACCCCTCAAAACAAAACTTTAAATGAAGCAATAAATAATTTGGGCCTTGGGATGTCAAATTACAACTTTGGAAAACATTTTCTCGTCCTCATCAAGCAATACGTAATTCCAATTATACACTAGTTGATTTATAATAATAAACAAAGCGCTTTAAGAAGGAGTTTTTAAATTGTATTGAGTTACACAAAAAGAAAAATTAGCTTTTGGTGTCCGGGAGCCCCAGGTAACGGCACCTCTCGGACCAGCGGTTGTTTCGTCACTGCGCACTTTTAGCCATTGCCTTCGCAAATCTTTTTATCGATCTGAGTTATTTATTTACGTCAAAAACAGTTAAAACTGTGTGTGTCGTGCGATGGCGAGAAGTTAATTTGAAGTTACATTTATGTCCGGAAGCAAAACAGGGCCATCTCAGCATTTGCTCAAAAATGGGGAAACTAGACAAAAACCTGATCGAGATGGGGTCATTGACCCAGAACCTGAAGTACAATACTTGTTATAAGTTCTATGCAATTATACAATCTAAATGGTATATAACACATTAAATGTTATTTTATGAATATATCAAAATTACTATTACTTCCATTTTGGATGGTCGGTATAGTTTCGTATAGAAACAGTTGTGCAGCAGAAAATACTTGGTACTTAAACTTTTGTATCTTATTTAATCGTTTAATGTCATCAGGCAAGATTTTGTAAAATAATGTACCTGTAACTGTAATTTTAATATCCTATCACAACTCTCCACTCCTGTCCAACAAACTTCTGAGTTTGGTCTGCTAATATGAAAGAGAATTTAGATTCTTTTCGATTCTCGTCAACGCCGAATCTAACCACTGCCATTTCGACAATATCTGCTGTCTTTTAACAGGCATTTACATTTCGATGTCTTCCGTTTTGATATTGCGTTTCCATGTCTTGAAGTTTCCAAGCTGCGTCCATGTCTTGAAATCCTGGGTTATGGCAATCCAGAAGTCCAACAGGAAATCTTCCCTTGTAAACATTCCTGATAAAGTACTAAGGTGTTATTTGACTGGGATAGAATTTTCAAACCGCATATCATAACATCAATTAATACTATAGAATGCTATGGGGATAGGCAGGTCTAATGTTTCCATCATGCATACCCCGCGATGTATCAATGACACCTGGGACACTGGGCCTGAAGCAACACCACTTCGGGCACCCGTGTCTTAAGTGGCATTTCTCGGACCGCCGTATATAACTTACACCTACAACAACTCAATTTGTACGAGAAATTTAAAGAAAAAGAAATAAACCATTTTTGAGAAAAAATTACAAATGTTCCATTACCTTTGAGTAAAGTACCTCCATAATTTTAAGAGATTCGAATTGGATCAAATCGGCCCATCCATTTGGGTAAAAGTTTATGGCGCATTGTTGCAAGTAACCATGGTTGCATAACCCCCGTCGCGGACGATGAGGTGAAATTAGAAAAATGAACGCAGAAGCTATGGAAAAAGTTTAGAAGAAACATCTTTGACGATTGAAAGAAGGCGAAATTAGTGACAAATTTATGCATGTAAGTAGCAGTCGTAACTGATAGGTCAAGGTTTTGATTTCGGACTGTCTTTTCTTTGCAAAAAATAAAAACCAGACACAGTCTGTAGAAACACAAAAAGTACGTGCAGCAATTCGACGTGGCGTGGGCTCAACAAAGAAGTCTTTTGCAAAACTGTTGAGCCATGCTACTTCCACAGCCATCCATAACTGCGAAGGAGTTGCCGGTGCAGGATTTTGTGCAGGCACCAACCTCTCGGTTTTATTCCGTAAATATCTTCGATGGGACTCGTGTCAGGTGATCTGGATGGCCAAATCATTCGCCCGATTTGTCCTGTGTTCTTCAAAGCAGGTATTAGAACTTTGTTGTTTCTAACTTGCTCAAATAGCTTGCTGATCTTGGGGAGTCTTGTTATACAAAAGTCATTCATTTTTGCGTCAAGTGCTGTGATGAATGTCCGTGCATAATTAGTGTGGAATTGCTTTATTGAGTATGGTCGGTAATATCCGACGCGTTGCTGCCCAAGAAGAAATGATTGTAGAAATATAGTGTGAAATAAAATAGGGAATGATAACAAGAATGATATTTATTTTTTGTCGATAATGAATAGATTTTCTGTAATTAAATGATATATAAAGTACAATTATAAGTAATATTCAATTTTGTTGACTTCATTATTCAAGTACGTTAGAGTAGACAATATTTTTTTTGTTTGTTTTTCCATCTTCAGCAAAAACAAATAAGTTATTTGG